TAATGTGTCCCCGTCTTACCTAAACATTACTTGATGGGAGTAATTGTAATTATTATAAGGGGATAATTGATTTCCCATGAGGTGTCTATTAATTAATTAAATTAGATGGAAAGACATGATTATTACTTGGTGTCCATTCTCTTATATTCATACGAAAGGATGTGTCCATTTATTCACGTCTATTCACTCATGTCCCTAGAGACTTATAAATAACACCATAACACTTCTCTAGGATACACATCAATAACTCGATCATTATCATCGATCAATCCTCCATCACTAATAAGGCACCATAATGGGAATCATGGTTTCATCAACGAACACGATAGGATTTCCGTCAAGTAAGTAAATCATATCTTTCATGCTCGTTAATTTTTGTTGTGTTTGATTTGATTAGAGAAGATTACTGGAAACGTTAATTCGTTAAGATTATTCAACAATGGGCGGATGAGGAAGAAGGCCTCGATACACTCATCCAAGATCCGATCACTGGTTTTTTGATCGGACTGCCCTAATAATTCGGACATCCTACCTTGTTGCAAAGCAAGACAGAGGTTCTGGATCCGTTAATAGGGGAGTGTTGGCCGCAGGTTCCAAACAAGTTGTGGGGTCATGTAAAGTATTTATTCTAAATTATTTTAAAGTGTTATAACTTTTTTCTTTAAATTGTGTTGCACTTTTTACAAAAAATATAGATTTTGAGACCCAATTTTTTCCTAAATAGATTCAAGTGTTAAAATTAATATTCGCAAAAAAATGAAAAAAAGTGATGTATAATAATAAAAGCAAGGTTTTAAATATACAAATTTTCCTGGGTGAATATATTGACAGTGATAAATTGCAGTAAAATTGAATTCATTGAATGAATATGTATGAACTGATCGGATATTTGATTTATTGACGGGGTTGAGTTGCGGTTAACTTTAGTATTTAACAATGTCAATGGATCATTATATTCACAGTCACATCTGGGATGACCTTGCCCTTGCCGCCATTTGAGTTACGATTGCAAAAACGAAATTAGAAGAAAAATGAAACATAAATGAACAAAACAAATTAAAATGGAATCACAGGGACATTAAAAACCAAAGACAACTATGGATAAATATAGGAGTGGTTCGGTACGGTATACCTTATATTTTTTCTCATACTTTTACTGTACCAAAACTTTCGATATGCAAAATTTGCATACATTTACCTTACCGAAGTTTCGGTATACCGTATTTCGGTATACCGAAGTTTTGGTTCGGTAACGGTACGGTATCGGTAATTACCGTGCATGTCTCCCAATACAAAAAATTATCATAGACTAACGAAATATACTAAATCGTTATTACTAGCGACATATTAAATATATTACCCCGTATGAAAATGTTACGAAATACAATTAATAATCTATTGATGTCAATTCAATATTGAACAATAATTATTATTAGTATATTTAAGCAGTTCAACATGCCACATATTAAAAAGTAAAACATTCTCCTAAAATAATTGAACAATATAGATATAATCAAATCAATAGTGATCTCTAACAAAAATAAATAAAACTATTCAAACATGGATATAAAATCATTTATTCCTAATATGTTATTGTGTATTTAGTCATTTTTACAATTCTTTAAAAATTGAATAAGACTTTCGGACAAAGTTGTGTGTCTTGACTCGCGGAATCCCTATGTAGATACACTTGTCACATAAGTGTATCTCTCTTCACTCGTCAGCTACTTAGCGGCCCAGCCATCATGACTTGCAAGCTCTTGGAACAAGATGAACTTGTTTCTTGACATTTGTACATTAATCATTAGTCATTAAGGTTATAGTGGGTTTGAGAAATTGGGCCTTTATTTTTGTATTTTTGTATTTGTAACCAACTAAAGTATTAATTTTGGGTTTCGAAATTATAATGGATTTTTACAATATATTAGAATTAAAAGTAATTGTTGAGTAGAGAGTCGGTACGGTATTACACCGGTATACCGCGGTATTTGAAAACATTTACCGTTACCGTACTGAAATAGATCGGTACGATATGATACTATACCGAAAATGACGGTATGCGGTTAAACTTTTGTTTTAGTAAATCGACTGACTCATGGTCCTATATAGAAGCAATGGAGGACGTAGGGAGGGGCCTAGGGAGGCAAGTGCCCCTGCTATGACCCCGAAGTTTAGTATTAGTACTTAAAATAAAAATTGTGCCCCTGCTATACGATCAAAAAATTAGAGTATCTTTCATAAATATTACTGGAATATAACTAATGAACAGAATCATGCCCCTGCTATAGCACTAAAATTGCTTTGGTAATTGGTAGTAACCTAAGTCATATTTTTGTCCACTATCTTTATTTCAATCATATTGTCATTATTTCAAAAAACTATTATATATACAGGACTCCGTCGAAGACATATAATAATTGTAGTAAGAAATATAAACAACTCTGAAGTTGTGATAATGGAGCAAATCCTTATAGTTAGATATGTTGTTATATGATTACTACACTTTATTTGAAAAGTGGCATTAATGATTTTTTACTTGGTGTGAATAATGTCGGTCCAAAGTTAAAGTTGAAAGATACGACAAGGGTTCTAATATGCGGGATAAACTTAATACCGGGATAGAAAAAGCGGGATGAACTTAATAGATTGAAGACTTTTATCTTGTATAAAAGTCCATACATGAAAAAATGTGTCAATTCCGATAAATTAGTTTCAACCCGATATAATATGATACTTGTAAAAGGTAGATATATAGAATCATATTATTAAATAAAGTTGTATTAAATGATGAAATCCTAAACTTGACTTATACTTCATTTTAAACACGATAGTATTATATTTCAGACAATTACCAACAAGTTTTGTGGCACCATGTATAATATCGACATAATGTTAGTTCAAATATGAAATCTTGATCATTTTATAGTATGAAAAATAGCAAAAATTCTAATGTAAAATCAGAAACGACGCAAAGATGAGTCATTTCTAATCTGCCAAATCACGTCTTTCTTTCAAAAAGTCAAATATTATTATTTAGAGTTGTCTTAATGAGTTCACAATTAGACTTGTAATCCATATATGTTCATTGTTTGATGTCGTCATGGAATGATCTATTTCCAGTTAAAAATATTAATTTGAACGCACTTGACAAAAAAGACCAATGATACACCCAATTCGACCTGACCCGACCCGACCCATTTTCATCTATGTGGGAGTGCGCCCGCTTCAGAAAACTTCTGGGTCAGCCACTGTATAGAAGTATAGAACCATTTCTCAATTTTTATTTTACTTCTGCACATACAGTATATACGATGGGGTTATCTCATAAATCAATTAATATTTCGTGAAAAATGATACGAAGCAGAAACCACACAACCAAAATACAACCACCAAAACTCATTAATTCGGTCTAATTTTATCGATTTCAATTTTATAAATAAGCGCAACCCAAACTCGCAAAATCTTTATAAACTTATTCTGCAAATTGATAAATCGGTTTCATTTTATAATTATGAAAATTATAAAAGGCAGACATTTAATTTGAACTATATAATACTCCGGTATGAAATAATTACAAATTTATGACTAACATTTCATGATAGTCTTATTTTGAGAATATACAAACATTTTTAGTCATATTTTGGGATAGAAACATGACAGTCCTATTTTGAAATTTTCAAATTTATTTATTCATATTATAGGAATTTTCTCAGATAAATTACCCAAAATAGGACTAAAATGTGATTAATGATTAGAATAGTAATGAAATCATAGTAACTTATGTTCAATTTTTAAACATAAGTTACTATGACACTATATTGTAGTAATTAATAATCGTATTTTTGTAAGTAAATTTTATATGAAAAATTCCAAGAATATTACTATTTAAAAACCAATGGCCAAGAATATTACCAACCTCCGTATTTACAAATTACCATCAAATGGGAACCGTGTGTTTTCTTTGCTTATTATTAGCACTAGTCACTTTTTTGTCCATGTAATTACCAGTGGTAATATTTAGGTAAAAAACTCATTTTATATTAGTAATGTTTTACTCAGGAGCTATGAAGCACGAATACTTCATTAGGGTGCCGTATCGACGTATCGGAAACGTTCCCGTATCCGATACTCTAAGATACCCGTACCGTACGTTCTCGGGCCGTATATGCAACTTTTTTTAAAGAAAAATCTTCCAAAAAAAACTTCTTAAAAATAACACTCAAAATTTACATAATAAAATTCTTTAAAAATGAAAAGCTAAAAATAATTTTTACCTTGTTTTTTTCTGGTACAACTAATGGGCCTATTCCTAATCCAACCATGCTCATATTCCTAATTTTAATTATCCCTAAAAATTAATAGCTCCAATGAAATACGGAGTATGTAATAGAACTTTTAAAAATTGTTTTCTATCTTCGTTATTTCTAGAACTTCAGCACTTGCACTTTTAATTTCAAAACTATAGTTGTTTGACTTATTTCTCATTTTAAATTAATGACTTATTGACTATATTTATATTTTGAAGTGCACTAGTGCATATGAGATAAAATATGAACTTATTTCTAAATATCTTGAAAATGTAAAATGCTTCAATGACGTGAATGAGTAGACGTCAAAGGATAACATTTTTTAAAAAAAAAATTATATTTTTAATATTTATAAATACACCCCTGTAATTTTTAATATTTATAAATACACCCCCATAACTTTTAATATTTATAAATATGGCCCCGTATCCGTATCCTACTTTTTTTGGTTTTGTCGTATTCTTGTACCCGTTTCCGCGTACCCGTATCGGTGCTACATAGCTCACTGAGTATAAACCCCATATAGTACTCCGTAGTATATACTCCGTATATAGTATGGTACGGAATTTCATTTAATATTGTGAAGTCCTCCGTATAACTCAGTTAGACCATTTGGAGTGGTGCAAGAGTCCAAATGTCAAAAATGGACTCCGTCGATATGAAAACAGTGTTTTGACTCTTATTCTCTGCATTCCAGCACCGTCAATAAAATACACTCTGCACATTTTTTTACATATCAATTTAGTAAAACATTAATTAAATTATTATAAGTAATGTTTTCCTTTTAATTTTTTCTCTGATTAATCATAAAATAAAAAAGACACATTTCGATGTAAAAAAAAATAAATTTCATTATTTTTTTTTTACGTTTTTTCCTGAGTGATTTTCAACACATTAGAGCATTGGATTCTCTTCTCAACTTTGTGTCTATCCATAACACATTGGATTCCCTTCTCAACTTGTTGTATCTTTTCAAATCACATTGGATTCTCTTTTCCATTATTTGTGTCCTTTCATAGCACATTATATGACATTGGATTCTCTTTTTCACCATGTGTAATCTTCCATACCACATTGGATGCTATTCTCCACTTGGTCCAAACATATTAATTTGGATGTATCCTCCACTTGGTGTGAACATCAAAGAACTATATTACTATAAATACATGGCCTCACTTGACATTGGAATCACACACCTCATCTTTACTTCTCCCATTTTCAACAAGGCCAAAAACATCATGAGTTCTTTTCCCGCATTTTACAAATCCATTAATGAAGATGAAGATGAAGAAGCTTATTCCGACCGCATGCGCATGGCTTTGATGGCTTCTTTGGTTGCAACAAGCTCCAATAGTAGTCGTGATTACATAGACCGTGGTCGGGAAGCTGGACACCGTTTGTTGATGGATGATTACTGGAATCCAAATCCCACCTACAATGCACGTATCTTCCGTCGTCGTTATCGCATGCAACCGGCTCTATTTGATCGAATCATGAAAGATGTCATGGCTTTCGATCCCTATTTTGTAAGTACAATAGATGCAGCAAACAAGGTATCTCTTTCTCCTAATCAAAAACTCACTAGTGCGATATTTATGCTCGCCAATGGTTGCTCGGCTGATTCATTAGATCAGTTATGTCGTTTGAGTGAGACAACTACACTTTTGTGCATGAAAAAATTTTGTAGGGCAGTTATTAGTGTGTATGGTTCTTGGTACCTACGAACCCCTAACCCCGGAGATCTGCATCGTCTTCTTGAAAAGGCCTCGAAAAGAGGCTTTCCCGGGATGATTGGGTCCATTGATTGCATGCACTGGGAGTGGAAAAACTGTCCTACATCTTGGGCCGGCCAGTACACCGGGTACAAAAGAAAACCAACAATTGTTCTCGAAGCAGTTGCTTCTTATGATACTCATATGTGGCATGCATTTTTTGGCACAGCCGGTTCCAACAATGACCTCAACACTCTTGCAAGCTCTCCAGTCTTTGATGCTGTTGTAAATGGATCTGCCCCTCAGGTACAATTCCGCGTGGATGGTAAGCTATATAATCAATGTTATTATTTAGCTGATGGGATTTACCCAAGTTGGGGAACTTTTGTTAAGACAATAAGTCATCCAGACACTCCTAAGAAAAAGCTTTTTGCTTCAATGCAAGAGGCTTTTCGTAAGGATGTTGAAAGAGCATTTGGAATTTTACAAGCTAGGTGGGCTATTGTGCGAGGTCCTGCACGGTTGCACGACATACGCACATTAGGTGATATAATGCTGGCATGCATTATACTGCACAACATGATAGTGGAAGATGAATATGAAGAGAATGATGAAGAACCAACCCAACAAGACTACCGTGAAGACTATGACTATATTGGTGGTATTGTTGAATTGGATCTTAACCATGATGGTCCGACCTTGAGTCAATATATGATGCGCCACAATCGAATTAGAGACTCCTCGGTGCACACATCGCTTAAAAGTGATCTCATAAACCATCTGTGGATGCACCATGGAAATGGAATGTAGTTTATTTGCTTCCCCTAAATATTTATGTGTTTTCTTAATCTAGTTGTGTTTCATGTATTTCATTTACTAGTGTTAACTTCGTAGTTGTACTGTTTATGTTTTTCCGAAAAACTTTATGTATTTCTGGAACTTTTATGTGTCTTAATAAAATATTCGCGTTTGTGTAAATTACTTCTATCTTTTTAGAATATTACTTAATAATGTGACAAACTTATAAGTCACTAAAATAAATTTAATTTAAATAAAAATAAACGTGAACATTAAATAAGCACACATAATTAAAATAATAACACGTTGAATAAATTAAAATAACAAAACATGGAATTTAAAAGTGAAACATATGTGAAATTCAACTTACAACACAATACAAAATAAAAACAACAAAACATAATAACTAGAAATCAAAGTGGGGACGGTACACTTCTTCTGCAGGAGTGTCGGGAACATCACTTGAGGAATTTTGAGAATACCCCATTATTTCATCTTGTTTTTGCTTAATCCACCTTTGCTTCCTCGGTGAAAACTTTGAAAGGTCCGCAGCTAGTAAGTCATACTGGTTTCTCGTAATCTCCGACTCTACGGCTTTGTGTTGAAGCTCATCACGCTTAGCTCTTCTTGAAGCTTGTTCTCTGCCTTGCTCAATCATTTCTTGTAAACATTGCGTCATCATTGGATCTAACTTAGACACCTTTGCTTTTCCACTTCTTTTGGCCTTTTGCTTGTCCCGACCTTCGGGACGTTGAAGTGGCTCTCCATCCGAGGGAGAGCTAGCACTACCTCCGAGTGTGGGCGAATCGTGCGATTGTGGAGACGATATTGGCCGGGAGAAGGATACCGGAGCTTCGTATTGTTGGTACCACTTCGGACACACTTGGAGGACACGCCACGCATGCTCAAATTTGAATGTCTTGCCATTGTTATCATTCATGAAAATGTCTTTGGCTTGAAAGTTCTACAATATAATAATAATAAAGGAGTAAAGTACATAGTAATATAATTAAATGTTTTAATTACATAGTTATATGTATATTGTGAATATAACTAATATAACTAATATACACTAATATAACGAATATATATACTAATATAACCAATATAACTTATATATATATATACTAATATAACTAATATTATACGAATATATATACTAATATTATATATGTACTAAAATAACTAATATATATTACTAATATATATATATATATATATATATATATATGTTGGAAAAATGTGTGAAAAATTGCATTAAATGGCTATTTTGGGGCAATTTTTTGAGTGGGGTCCACTTCCGATTTGGGTCGGGTGAAATTGGTTTCGGATTGTCCTTGTTAAGGGCTACAATTCGATACGTGGTACACTCAAAACGGATAACGGGTGAATGAGATATCGATTTTCGAAGTTTACCCGTTGAAATGGAGCAGCAGCCGGCTGCTCCAGCAGCCGGCTGCTCCAACAGCCCACTGCCGGCAGGACAGTCCGCAGCAGCCTGCTGCCGGCAGGACAGTCCGCAGCAGCCTGCTGCTGAGACGTCTTCCGCAGCCTGCTGCCGGCAGGACAGTCCGCAGCAGCCTGCTGCTGAGACGTCTTCCGCAGCCTGCTGCTGAGACGTCTTCCGAAACACACCCAACAATATATATATATATATAGAGCTCTTCTCATCAGGCCGGCCTGACGGGCTGCCCCGTCCGGCCGAACCCGTTTGGGCACCTTCCCGGTGGAATTTTTTGATGAAATTTTTTGAGCATGTTCCTCATCAAGTCTAGTTTGTCCATACCAAATTTCAGCTCAAAATTCGATCGGGAAGGTCGTCAAATGATTTTTGCAAGTTAACTGGTCCGGAAAATACATATTCCGGACCAGTTAACTTGAAAAAATCATTTGACAATCTTCCCGATCGAATTTTGAGCTGAAATTTGGTATGGACAAACTAGACTTGATGAGGAACATGCTCAAAAAATTTCATCAAAAAATTCCACCGGGAAGGTGCCCAAACGGGCTCGGCCGGACGGGGCAGCCCGTCAGGCCGGCCTGATGAGATGATTTCTCTCTCTATATATATATACTAATATAACTAATATATATATATATATACTAACATAACTAATATATATATATAATATACTAATAAAACTAATATATATTACGAATATATATATTATATATACTAATATTATACTAATATTATACGAATATATATAAATGCTTTAATTACATAGTTATATATACACTAAATATTATACGAATATATACTAATATACTCTAAAATATTAATATAGTTATATATATTTCAAAAATATATTAGTATATACTTTATGAATTAAAATCAAATAATAGAGTAGTTTAGAAATTACCAAATCGTCTAGGTTTGACCCACTCCTCGGAGTTGCGTTCGCTTTCCGCACACAACCTTTCCATTGAGAACATTGATTATTGATGATCTTGAAACGAGACTCAATTGCATCTCGAGTTCGAGGAATTTGACTTTGTGCCGAAAATATCTCGTGAATTCGGCCCCAGAAAGTCTCCCCCGGTTGATTTATTCCAATGGCACCATCTTCAGATATGGTGACCCAAGCATTACATAGAACAACATCCTCTTTAGCATTCCAATTAACACCCCTTTTTGAGGAAGACATAACAAAATTGTAGTGAAAAAATATGATGAAGAATGAGAGATATGGAAGATGTGTGATTAAAATAAGAAGGAATGAGGTGTTTATATAGGATTTTCGAGCAAAATATCAATTAAAAATAATAGAAAAATAAAATAAATTATTTCAACCGTTGGATTTAAATTTCAGCCGTTGGATCATTTTTTTTCCCGTTCAAACAGTGTCAAGTTCATCACAACCGTTGGATCTACCAAATATTTTTTATACAAACAATTGAGCCTTTGGTAGTGCATGGTGCCTCATGCTGACATCAACATGATGTCAGCGAGGCAAATAATTCCCCCTGGCAAGCCTTCTGCTCCCGTCTGCGCACAACAGGTATGCCCCCACTCCCCTTTTTCTTTTCTTTTCCATTTAATTTTTGACTGTCTAAAATTCCTCCAAACTTAACCCCTTCCCTCCCCAAACCCATTTTTAATACCCTCCACACTCAACCAATGTAAGAAATTAGGAGTCTAAAAATGCCATTTTAACATTTTAGACTCCTAATACCTCACCACTCCATTTGGTCTTACTATCACCATCGTACGGTCGTACATGTGGTGTATTGCAGAATTTGCAGGTATGCTACTCCGTACATATTTAGTTTGCCTTAAATTTTTGCACGTATCTTTGCATACAACACATCCGGCAAAAATATGTGTAGGCCGGATTTAAAGCGTACATTAATACATGCTACGTAATACGGAGTAGTATCTTGTCCTTCTGCCTTCTTCTTCTTCTTGTCACTGACTTCAATGGAACTCGTCGTCGTTAAAGGATCTGACTTTTTCGTTGGACGATCTCGTCGATCGGCGTCGGCGAACTTTTGATCTCCATCGCGATGGCGTGCTTCATCGATCTCATCTCGTACAACGACGGCACAATTTCAGATCTGGTATTTAGGGCTGCTGGGGTTGGGCGGCATTCAGGCAGGGTGCTGGCGTCCTGGGGTAGGTAGGCTGTGGATGGGGACTGGGACTGGTGGGATGGGGAGGGGCTAGTGGACTACAAAGAGGCCCATGAGCGGAGGCACTTACTTGCTTAACGGGGCCATGGCCCCTCCCACCTTTTTGATTTTCTAAAATACCACTAAAAAAATTATTTGGGCCCCTTCCAAAAATCGATGAAGGCAAGCCAATCTACCGTAATCCTCTATATTTTAACTTTAATATTTTAAATTTTATATTAAATTTCATATTTCAGAGATATGTAATTTAGTTTTGTAACTTTTGAGTATTCTCATTATTAGTTCTCTAACCTTACTCACATGTTGATTAGGTCCTAAGACTAATACAGAGTAAATCCTTGCAGTTTAAAGATTTTTGCATCGAGAAATACATTTTCTTGCAAAAAAATCGACATTGGCGGCATATTTTGCAGTGAATTATCGGTAGAAAAGTGTTGTTTAATGTGGAAAAGTACTTAAATTGCAAAAACAATATTAATTACATGAGCAAAGTTATGAGCAAGTGTAGTATCATGATGAGAAACGGAAACAAAGTAAATTTATTGGACCAAAATTACAAAATTTCCTTTACATTTTAATACAACAAAATTTCCTTTACATTTTAATACATGTACTATAACCCCCCTAGAGTAAAGTCTGGCTCCGCCCCTGGCGAGGCCGGTGTGGTCACGGTTAGGGCGGCGGCTGCCAGGTGTGTGCGGGGCTGAGTGCAAGTGTGGGAGTCAGGGTGGCGGTTGATCGGTCGCAGTGTCGGAGGTGGCAATTGTTACTATTTAACTCACACAACACGAAGAACAATAAGAAAGAACACACGAAATTTGGTAACTCTGTTCGCCACAAAGGACTACGTCTGGGGGCGCTACCAATCCAGGAATTGCTTATTAATTTCAGATCAACCGATTAGAAGTGAGAGAGCTTGTATTTATAGAGAGTAAAACCTAACTCCTAAACATAATAGGACGCACGCGGCCCACAATAGTACGACCCAAAACTGTACGGAAACTCGTGGCTCTTCAGAAACGGACCCGAAGTTATACAGTCTCTAACATCTTACAGCAATTTCACTAAATAGAAGCGGGTGCAGTGACATATTTTCCGGCAACAGTGACATTCGTACAATCGTAAGTTATAGTAAAATCTGATGGTTGCGAGGTTACCATGCCTAGCGAGAGGTCTCGTGTTCGAATCCCGCTAAGCACACAAGGGTGTGAAACTCAATGGAATGAGTTTCAGCCCTAATTACTCCAGGTTCCCCCCAGCCCCCCCTAGAGTAAAAAAAATCTGATTGTGACATATGTAAGTGACATTAAAATCTGACAGTGACAATTCATAGTGACACAAAAATTGGAGTGACACGAAAAGTTTATAGTTACATCATGGTTTTCCACATATATGACCTTGTTAGTCACATTTATTTAAAAGTAGTCACATTTTTGAAAATTGACTTTAATTTAGTAATATTTAGGACAAAACCTCATGAATTATGAAAAAAATCTATTCAAAATATTTTATGAATATAATTATATATATATATAATTACTAAAATGGTTCTCTAAGGTTACTTTAGCTATTTCAACCTGAAATGTAACTCTAACTTTACTTATTTTGATTATGATACAACCCAGACTAGTGTAAAGGCTACAACTCATGTGTGTTGAGCTATAATTCTAGTGCACGCTGATATAAGGTCTACTATCATTGAGTTGATTGAGTTACCATAATTTACAACCTTTCATATATCTTGTTGGGTCGGGCAGGGGCTGGGGTGCCCTTGAGATTTGGGGATTCAACCTGTGTGGAGAAACTAAAACAAAACATTTTAAAATACTTTCTTGTATGACAAGATACGCTTAGGATGTTTTTACTTGAACTGAAATTTGTTAGTCTGATCTGTTTAAGTCTGGCATGATGTGGTCTGGTAAATGTTTGGTTTATGTGTGTTTTATAACTACGGAAGTCAGGTCTGGTCTGGTTTGGTCAGTTTAAGTCTGTTCTGGTTTATTTATGTCAGTCTGGTCTAGAACTGAAAACAATCCAAGTAAAAATATCCTTATTAAGAAAGTGAGAATAAAATGGAAATATATAGTTGCGATTAAGTAAGAAAAATGTAAATGAATGTTAGTAACACAAAATTTTTGAAAGAGAGAAGTGGAAAAAGAAATTGAGACATCCCAAAATAGAAGATAGTCTTTGGCTATACAAGAATTTTATACATTCATTTCATTCTGGAATTTCTATCTTTTCACACTTCACTAGGTTTCAATTGTTTTTAGTTTAAGTAAAGCTTTTGTGTCGGGTCGATCTTAATAAAAATCCAACATTTATTATGAATAAAGCTACTACTATATTCACTATAATTAAGAAGACACATTCTTTTAAATAACAATTATTTTAGTTACAAAAGAATTTAATTATTTCGTACTACGTATTTAATTATTTCGTACTACGTATTTTGTACTACAAGAATTTTAGTCACATTTCATCAGTCTCAAAATAATATTTTATATCTTTTTTTTCTAAACAATTTGTGATTCATGACATATCTTACACGTTTTTACATATTTCTCTCTTATTCACATAACTTTCCACTACGAATACTCATTATCTTAATTCACATAACTTTCCACTACGAATACTCATTATCTTAATTTTCGTACTAAATGCACTTTGGAAGATAATCTAACAACACATTTCTAAATATTCAATCAAAGTCAAACTCTGTCTAACTCGAATTACACTAAACCTAAACCCTTGTCCGCAATTAAAACCTGCCTAAGGAGTCCGGGTATAACTCCTTTTATTTTTCATTCTTTTCCATGTTTGATTTTCTTTTGATTAATTTGTATTGGTCCCTGTTATCTTATTATGGATTATAATAGTTTCTGACCTGGCCAGGCCCCTCGATTTACAAGGCTACGATATTCTGAGCTCATATACATCAAATTTAGCTGCATTGTGATTGATACCCTATATATAAATATATAATTATCTAGTATTGGCTTTTCAAATTAATTTGAATTGAATGATAAAGCTGTCGTACGTGACATGAGGGAATTCCTTTCATCATGTACCCATATCTCAAATTCGTCTAACACCATTTTAGACGGGATATCACCCGGTTGAACAGCTTTTAGCACAAGCAAACTTTGATCAAACAGCCACGGTCCATTTTCAGGACGCGATTCATATCAACAGAATGAAAAAACTTAAACAAATACCTACGTTCTCCAAGTTCTTGTATAGCAATACCTTTGCCTGGGTGCCATAGATCAGTCATGAAGCCTCGGAAGAACGGGAATCAGATGACTTTGTGTGTGAGAATCCTCCCAACAACTGTGTTAGAAACTCAATCCAGCTCAGGTCTCCAAGAATTATACCCACAAAGGGTAATAAACACCACTAGAATCGCTAAGGGAGAAGGGGGCGTCAACCGCGGGCTAATTTCCAGCCAACTCTTTGAGGGTTCCACGGAGGAGGCTACAAAGGGTCGAAATTGAGGTGAGGAAAGGTTTTAGCCAGCCTTCCCATCGGCAGAGAGGATCGATATTAATAGGCGAATCAATAGAGCAAGGATGGAAGTTACCATACAAAGAGATTGCGCAGACACATACAAGGAAAGGGGATTTGTCGATGAACCAATCCAGGGAAAGCGGATGAAAAATCACAGAAGGAAAGCGTAAGCAATACAGGGAGCCGAGTCAAACCTTGGGCCGGGTATCTCATTAGTTTTGGGCTTAGGGAAAAATAACAGGTCAATACCAACACATTCTCCACCTTATTGGACCATAGTGGTGTAGACCGCAAAACTCTAATACAATTTGAGACTCATCATCGCTGGATTGCCCGAATAATCACAAAGACATATTCAGGCAAAATGGGTAAGATCACCAGGCAACTTATCCGCAATCGATGTTTAACGTGCGTTTTCACGACAGCAACTTTTCGACAGAGAGACATTTAGTCCCCATGTCAGCAGGATTAAATTCCGATGGAATTTTAATCAACTTGATATGACCTGCACTAACATTATCACGTACAAAATGAAATCTCACATCAATATGCTTAGTTCTATCATGAAAAACAGGGTTTCTGCACATTTGAATAGCAGATTGACTATCAGAAAACACACAAATGTCTTGCTTAAGACTACCAATCTTCGTTAGGAGACGTTTTAGCCAAATGGCTTCCTTAAACGCTTTGGTAGCGGCCACATACTCAGACTCAGTGGTGGATAGGGCAACTATGAGTTGAAGTTGAGACTTCCAACTAATGCAAGACCCGCAAAGAGTAAACACATAAGAGGTAGTGAATTTCTTATTGTCTCTATCGTTAGCAAAATTCGAATCCACATACCC